CTACATATTAATAGATGAAAAAGCAAGTTTGGAAATACCCAGTTTTGTTTTGGGTCGCATTTTGTCTTGGGTTGAAGCTGATTATTTAAGTTTCTCTCTACAAGCTCCAGGCTCCAGTGATGCCTTAACAGGTGTGAGAATAGCTCACTCACTTGCTTGTTAAAATAGACCTCTGCAGATGAGCTGAATTCTGGTTCCAAACTATTTTGAAATAAGTTAAAAAATGATTCTGTTATTCAAAAATTTTGTAGTTCAGATTGAGTTGCCAAATTTGTTTTTTTAATTTATATTCCAGTCCTTAAATGCTTCTGTCATACCTGTTTCTTCTTCCAGTTTCTTTGATATATTTTTTGACCTCGGCTAACTTTGTAGTGTTGCATTTGCAGGGTTCGCCCTTTGGGACTAACTTTAGTTCTTACGGTTATCACCACTTGACGACCAGTACAGGGTTTCCCTCTTGACTTAAACCCTGATTCGTGCATCAGTCCACTGGGCACCTTGTACGAAAGCAGAGTCTTGGGCTCCAACTCCGTAGATTCTGACTTAGTAGATCGTGTGTATGGCCCAAAGAACCTGTAGTTTTTGATGATATTTGAGCCAATTCCAAAGCATGTGCTACCGATCATCCTGAGAACGCTGACTTAAAGAGACCGCATGGACTGACCTAGATTAGCATGAATCTGTTGTGCTTTCTAAGTAAACATGGAGCTTTCATTAAAATACAAAGGTATTAATATTAATTTATAAAATTTACTACAAATTTTAGACCAGAACAAGAGTTCAAGGACTACGGACACCAAATGCCTTCTGGTATCTTCCTGTTAATCTACAGCTGGCAAGGTGCCAATCTATGCAGGCAGTGTTGTTGCAAGATCACACTGTCGCATGGTTGCGTGTTTTCCACTAGAAATGGCCAGCACGTTACCAGACTGTTAACTAGAGCCCAGTACAAGATAATCCTCTAACTAAGAAGTTTGATCTTGGAGAGTTACTTGTAACTATAGTACTTGAATGCGAATATTACTGTTGCAATTTTAACTCTGTTTCTGTAAATAACTCCTGCCCTTTGTTTTATTTAAAAGTGCTCTAGATAATTCTGAAGCCAGCAGTGTGCTTCTGTGGGCTTGTATCTATTCCCTGTCATATAGGGGCGCCTTTGGTCTGGGGCCCCGTCGGGTGCCGGTTTTCAGCGCCCTTAGCCGTCGCCGTGCGGCCACAGTGGCTGCCCCAGGGAGTGGCCCTGCCAGCGGTTCTGGTTCCTGCACCTCCCTTCTGTGGCCCCGCACAGGTGTCGAGCAGAGAAGCGAGGGGGCCGGCGCCTCTCAGTGACGCCACGGGTGTGTCTGGAGTGACTGGCGTTGCAGTGCAGTGCGGGGTGACTGTAACATTCTTCCTGTGTGGCCGGGGCCGTGTTAGGGAACCTGTAAGCCTTGGTTTTCTCCTCTGAAAACGGGAACTGCTGCTGACTCATGGAACTGTCAGACCGACTGAGTTACTGAATCTCAAGTGCTAGGCAGGGACGGCGGGCCTGGCGCCCAGAAGGCACTCCCTAAATGCCAGCTTCCGTTGTTATTGGTCAGGTAGTCCTTTCCTTCCTTGACACCTGTCCTTTGAGGTCTTAGTACTTAACGTTTTAAATCATGTTTGTAGTTTTTTAAGGGATGAGATCCTTTTTTCTAGTGAACCCTTTCTAACAAGGGACATATATGTCTTAATCAAAAAGATACAGCTGCTCCCCTCCCCCCTCCCCGTATTTGAAGTTTTACTTTCCACGGTTTCAGTGAACCCCCCATCAACCGTGGTCCAATAATATTAATTGGAAAATTGCAGGGAGAAATAACGCCCAGGTTTTCAAGTGCGAGTCTTCCCCTCTCAGGGGCGTGAAGAAGCCTTGGGCCGTCCCGCTCTGTCCTGCCCAGGCCGTGAAAAATCATCGCGGCTGCCCAGCGCGTGTCTGCTCCCGCTCGCTAGCCTCTGAGCGGTTGTCTCGGGTATCGGGGGCCATTGTGGTGTCTCAGTGCTTGTGCCCAGGTGACCCTTATTGCTCTTGCTGTGCCTAATTTCTCAATTAAACTTGATCACAGCTGTGCATGTATAGGGAGAAACATAGTATATACAGGGTTCGGTACCACGGGTGGTCCCAGGCATCCCCTGGGGGTCTTGGAACGTACCTCCTCCACGGATAAGGGGCGACTGCTCAATATGTGGCTTCGGGGGAACTCGAACCTAATAATGGAGTCATGGCTTTAACTGTATAATTAGAATTGTGCAGTAAGCAATAAACTTTAAAGAAAAAAATAACCTCTTTAATCTCTTATTCTTTCTGATCAATCTTTTGAGGTTCTACATTTCTGTCCATCAGTGTTTTTTTGGGGGGGAAATAGTCATCCTTGGGATTTATGAATTGTGTTTTCAATATAGAGAAGTTTTGCTTAATTTCTTCCAGCTTGAGCACTCACTCATATAAGACTGTAGTTACCGGATTTGCCCCAAAGAGAGAGAAGTTGGTCTTATTAAATAGGGCGGGGTCCCCTACGGCGGGTGAAATGAGAATAACGGGGACGGGGGGGCGGTGATCGCCGCCGCCCCCCACCCCCCCGCGCCCCCGCCCCCTGCTGCTGGCCGTCCCAGCGCTTACATCAGCCGGTCAGCCGGCCACCGTTCCCGCCTGCTGTGACCACAGCGAAGGCACCTTTTAACGTCCGTGCGCTGCGGTAAAGAAAGAAACCCATTTAAAGTCTGTGTATCAATATGGTTATGTTCACGACCGTAGAACGAAATGAGAAGAAATTTAACAGTGCAAAAATGCGTCGTGACAGCGTCCCAGAAACAAGGCTCCAGTTGGAAATTTCCAAGCCGTAGCGCAGGCGCTGTCTTCTTTCCCCTAGATGGACATTCTGATAAGGCAGGTATTTTACCTGGAGACGGAGAGCTCCTCTGCTGGGAAAGAGTGACCTCTCACCAAGTGTGTGTGTGTAGAGAGAGCGCCAGGACTGCAAATCAGTGCTGACGAGCTTTTAGTAGAGCTTTTAAAAAGCTGTCCCCCCTCCTTTTTTTTTGCTTAGTTTCTGGTGTTAGTGGTGAGGACTCGGGGCTGCAATTTGTATTTTTCACTTTGTCTCTAAAAGATTCTGTGTACAGTGCAGTTTTAATCGGCCACAGAGGGCCGCTGTTAGAGCCGTTGTTCAGGGCAGAGAAGGCAGGATGGCGCTGAGCCCAAGAACTCCCCGTGGGGCCGGTGTGCTGACGCCGTGGCTCTGTCCTCGGCATTGGACCTGAATCATCCTACGTGAAACCCCGCTGCCCTAGACGGGGTGCGCCGGCTCCGGAGCTAGTCACGTGTCAGGCTGTGGGCGCCTCATCTCTAGCCCTGCCTCCGTCGGGCACACCCACTCCCTAAAGTTGGTTGGATCTGTGCACAGAACTCCAAAGGGGAATTTCTCTTACGTGGGAATGAAAACTCTGGCTGTGATGAAACGTTCCAGTCCGTGCCTTACATCCCTCACCTTTTGCCCTGTTTTCCTTGATGCAAAAAAGTCTAGTTCTAAGGGAGCAGATGGTAAAAGGAGAAATAAAAATAGTCGAATACCTAATTTCTAGACAATGGCCTAGTTTGAAGTTTTACTGGGAAAATTCTGTCTCTTTCTTTTTTCCCTTTTAGAACCATTTTTCTATTTCTCCACCTCTGGCCTTTCTACATTTTTTCTTGCTCACCTCTTCTGTATTAATCAACTCTCAGCTGAAAATATTCCCAGACTTGACTTTGCTCAGCTTTAGCGTTCCGATCCATAGTTCAGCTGTGCTAGTTGCCGCAACATAGTGCAGGGGATTACTTACTTTGTTTATAATTAATAACTCAGTTTGTGCTATTTTAGGGACAGTGTTTTATTTCCTTTTTAGCTGAGGGGTAAGTGTCCTTTATCTGGCCTATTTCGTTCAGTAAATATCTATCTTTGTCTCTCTCTGTCTTTGTTTCTCTCTCTCTCGGAAAACCACTATGAAAATTATAAATTACAGATGACAGAAAAGGATAATATGGATACTAATAAACCATATTTTGAAGGACAAATTAGAAATAAGTATAAAGTAATGCTTAAATTAAGACATCTCTATTGATTTTTCGCTATTTCTCCATATTTTTGCAAGTTGGTTTCATCTCTGGTTTTGTTTAGCATTTATAGGCAAACATCCTTTTGGCAGACAAGAGAACGCTTTCTTCCTTGACCCGGTGTAGGCTAGCCGCCCTGGTGTGTATGTTTCAACATACACAGCCCTTTCCTGGGCCGTCCCAGCATTCAAAACAGGAAGGGAAAAGAGTGCATAACTGCCTGTCACTTAGAAGAGACTCTTGGGGGGAAAAATAAAAAAGATACTCTTTGGAAAATAGGAAACTGTTTTACAAGTTTACCAGATAGGCCTTGGAACAGTTGATATCAGAACTTACTAATACAGTGCAGAGCCCTCGAGGCACAGTGAGGACCTAGGACTGGGCAAGTCATCACGTGTTCTTACTTGCTGGTGAAATCCCGGCCCAGCTGCCCTGTGTGCTCAAGAGGCTCCAAGTTAACTCTCTTTGGTGTGGCTTAGACACCTGATATCTGAGGCTCCTTGTGACTGAGCATGTTCACTTGACACTATGTGGCTGAGGAGTTAAAGAACACGGTCCCAAGGAGCGATACATGACCCACAGGGAGGAGGCCCGCCTTAGAAACTCATGTTAAAACAGACCGATACCCTCAGTCCACTGTGGTTCTCAAATTCTCGTCTTTCTTCATTTATAAAACCTTGATAATGAGGTCTTTTTGAAATTGTGGTACTTAAATTTCTTTAGACAGAATTCTAGAAGAACCGTGCGATGGGGGAAGGAATGCCATGGGATGGGGTGGGACGGGGTGAGGGCGGATTACAGTTTCTCTGTGTTTTTAAATATTCAGGCAGATTAATATGTGATATTATGCTTACTTGTTATAAAGCTTTACCTTTCTTGATTTCTTTTTCAGGAATGACTTTATTTGAAGAATTCTAAGAGACTGAAAACGTAGCAAGATATGAAGTTGCCCAAGGAATATATTTTATCTTTTGTATGACTTCTATCGTGGAGTATGCAGGCATATGGAAAAAGCTAAAAGGAAATGTTGTTGCTCTACTGGATACAGAATTCAGTTGGCATTGAAACAAGTTTTGGTTTAAAAAAAATCTGGTGAAAAATTTATTACGCTTCCAGGAAAGAAAAGAACTCATTTTTTTATCTCCCCAACTACCTTCAGCCACTGCCCCTTCCAATCATCCATCCCTGGCCTTAGTGTATACTGTTTTTCCAGAATGATCACTATGTACAGTGGAACTATTCATGTACAGTCTGAGCTGATGCTTTGGGGGGGTGTGTGTGAATACGTGTGTGTGTGTGTGTGTGTGTGTGTGTGTGTGTACGCGCATGTAAGTGCTTCTGTCCCCCAACCCTTACTTCCTATTTTACTACTGGTTGTAAGAAGATGTTCTTACAGTTTAACTGTTACAAAAGATAAAGATGACTCTGGTGGTGAAAGGTCCTTGAAGGCACCCCAGTCTAGCCCTGAGAAACTGACCACGCGAGAGGTCATGGAGTCAGATGGCACTAGCTGGCAGACCAAGAACCCAACATGCTGTTCTCTTAGGTCACTTGTAAAATATTGAGAGTTTGTTGTTTGTTTTTTTTTTTAACTTGAACTAAGCAATTCTTATTTAGTCCGTTCAATAAAGGGGAAAATAGGTTAAAGTCACAAAAACAAAACACTCTTGTTTTGACAACCTGAGGTCAAAACAAAACAAAAAAATCTCCACTGCTTGTTTCAGATGGGCCCGCACCTTCCTCTGCCTTGTGTTCCCTGGTGCACTTGCTGTTTTGCATCTCATAACTAATGCTCCTTATTTACAAGAACCTTCGTGGTTATTTCCCCTTTGGGCATGAAAAACCCTACTTTTTTTTTTTTTTTTTGTCTTAGAGTTTATGAAACACCTGCCAGAACTAGAGGACATTGCGGTAGGTTGGGCCAAAGGCTTGGAGGGTCCACTTACAGGGAAATCTCCAAGACCTATTTACTTCATGCTTCTTTTATTTCAGAGAGAAAAGCACATTTCTCATTTGACTCCAGGAAAATGATTTCCATTAACATGTATTTGAAAGTAGTATTACAGTAGATATACTCATTCCATTCTGTTTCTGGCATCAAACTAAAAGTTTCTAACCTTTTAAATGAATGGTAGGTTTAGTTTCATGTTTGGACTAGAATGGTAGGTTTAGTTTCATGTTTGGACAGTGAATTACAGGAAGTCAGTAAGGGTGTAAATTTCACTAAGGTCCAAAAAGTAGCAATGTAAGAGTTTGGGGGATGTGAATTAATGTACATAATATACGTGCAGTCTAGACCAATATTTTCAGTTTAAAAAAAAAGCATCTTTTTTTGTCATTGTTTAAAGAATATGCCCTCAAAATGGGGAGGGATAATATGTAAAATATTCTTCAGCTTTAAGTATTTTTTAACTTTATTCAGGTCAGAGCACTTTTTTAATAGCAATACAACAGACAAGAGAATACTCAAAAATATTTAAAGTTGTATTTATACCAATAGTACATTTTAAATATTTTCTAATACTTGAGCAGTTTTTGTCTGTTTGTCTTCCAAATATGCCAAATGTTAAGCATTCAATATTTTCCACACATAAGCTTTCTACTGGTTTCTATGATCTAATACGTACTCTTAAGTGTTCCCAAAGCAGCTGATGTTTACAAGCCTTGTGTTTTCCCTCCTTCAGAAGGACTGGGGACCCACAACAAACATACTATACCAAACACTAATGAGGGACTGCCTTCGGGTGTGATAAGTGAGTTGGCTACCACCTTGATGTAAAAATTTGTAAAGGAAGTTTTTCACCCTTTTGAGTGTCAAGTGTATTTTTAACTGTCTGGTTTGTACTTTTACGACTTTTGTACTACCAAAGCAGAGTTAAAAATAAAAATGTTAAATACAGTGTGCTGGTTTTGAATGATCCAGTTGTTGGTGCCCTGTGTACTGAAAGTACAGCATGGTAGTGTAATTTAGGGGCTTAATATTGCAGGGCCTAATTTCCTATGTCTGATTTGGCAAGTAATCATCTGGCTGACTTTCCTCGTTGGGTTCCTCCCTATGGTAACACCATTCCTCAGCCCCGCCATAATGATTTTTTAAATTTGAAGATAATTTTGGAGGTGGAGAAGAATTGCAAAAGCAGTACAAAGAGTTCCTGTGTACCCTTTACCCCATTTCCCCTAGCGTTAACATATAACCACGGAACAATGATCAAAAGACATTTAACATAGGTACATTATTACTAATTAAGTCACAACTTTATTCTGATCTCACCAATTGTCCCACCAACATCCTTGTTCTGTTCCAGGATCCCCCACTGCACTTAGTAGTTGGTCTCCTCAGTCTCCTTTGATGTGTGGTCCCTTCAGTCTTCTGTTTCATGATCTTGCCACTTGAGAGTGGACTGGTCAGTTACTTTGTAAAATGCCCTTCAGCTGAAGGTTGCCGGCTGCTCTGACCATACTGAAGTTTTGCGTATGGAAGGGATCCATACAGGCGACAGGCCTTCCTCATTGCATCGCGTCTGGGGAACACGATGTCAGTGTGCATGACTAGTGCTGTCGGCCTTGATCGTTGGCTAAGGTGGTGGCCACCAGGTTTCATTTTGGTAATGTCACTATTTTCCTTTTGCCAGGTGAGATTAGGCAAACATTCTATTTCTGCTTAAACTTCCACCCATTAATTTTCCCATCCGCATTCGTTTCCTAGGGCTCCTGTAACAAAATACCACAGAACAATAGATTCTTACTCTTTCACAGTTTCGGAAGTCAGAAATCTGAAATGCAGGTGTCTGCAGAGTTGGTCCCGTCTGAAGTCCCCGAGAGAGAATGTGCCCTTGCCTCTCTCCTAGCCCCTGGCGGTGGCTGGCAGCCCTTGGTGGTCCTTGCTTTGTGATGGCTTCACTCCACGGGCTGCCTCTGGGTTCACACGGACTTTGTCCCTGCGTGCGCACCTCTGTCTGCTCCCTCCTCAGGAGGACGCCTGCTGGTGGCTTTAGGGCCCACCTGTCTAGCATGACTTCATTTTAACTTGATTACATTTGCAAAGACACTAACCTCAAATAAGGTCACATGCACAGGAACCTGGAGTTAGGATATCGATGTTTCATTTAAGGGGATACAACTCACTATACCATCCGCGGGCTGGGGGCTGAGCCTCAGGCCGTTTTGCCTGTAGAATGTCTCAGGTCGGGGCCTGTGTCCTTTTGGTACGGTTCCATTCCTTCCCTCTGTCCCTCCCTCCTTTCCCATCTTTCTTTCTCCTGTTTGCCCTTATTTTCTGGGACCACAAGATACTCCAGACTCATTTCATTTTGTATATTTCCTTGCCTCAGCCCTGGAATGGACCGCTAATCAAGGAGCCATGGTTGCCTTTTTTGAAGAACAAATGATGTTTAGAAGTAAAGGCCAGGGCACTAGGTGTGCTCATTGATATTGGGGTGTCACTGCTCCTAGGCTCCCCATATGTGTGAATACAGGCACAGGCACTACTGACCCCTGTGTATACATACATGCATTATTTATTTATTTCTGTCTCTATTTTTAAAGCAGAAGCATGAGTCCAGACTGATACCTGAGGCTCCAGTCAGCTCCAAAGGGCTCATTCTAACTTTCCACTTCTTCATAACTTTTCTATCCTACAGTGAAGAAACCTGGCTCTTAGCTATTTTTTTATGTATTCATTCACCCCAGCCTCCTTACAAAGCAGTTGAAATATATGCCCTTCGAAGAAATTTGCCAACTTGAGCACAATGTTTGTGCTCTGTTCATTTAGTTTTTAGCCTAAGAGTGTGCCGTCAAAACACTTTGCCAGTTGCTGAGGCCAGCCCCTCTGTCCGCCCCCCCCCTTTAGTGGGTTATGTGATTCCGTTTTAACACAGTCATTTGTCACCATTGACATGCCATCTGTCATTCATATCCTGGTTTAAAATTTTAAAATTTATGTGCAGCAAACTTCACTCATTGTGGCACCTCATTGGATTTTTTATTTTGAGTTTTCATTTTTCATTTTTCATTTTTTTTGCCTTGAAAACAAAATGATCAATAACAACTTAGACTAAGGAAGTGGAAAAACTGATTTTTATAATTTTCAGTTTATGAAAATGAAGATAATCCAGAATTTACAGACCAGAGTGGATGTTAGAAATTCCCCCCAACCCCCCAGTTTATAGACAAGAGGAGTCACGTGGGTTGACAGGTTTGATTCTTCCTCAGCCTTTTGACATCGTCCCTCGCACACGGTAATGCGGAACGGGCGGGGCGGGGCTCCTGCTGTGCTTTCGTGCAGTTCTCAGCTGGTGAGGGAGCGTGAGCAGCTTGGCCATCAGCGCCTGCGGCCATTCTGTCCTGCGTGCAGACAGAACGCCAGACTCGCAATGCCCGCCTGAACGATGATTCCTCTCTCAGCGCCCGCAGGTCGTGGGCGAATTTGCCAGGGGGACTGTCCATGCCCGTGTATGCCCCCGGACTTCCTTCCCCAATCTCTCTCGCTATGTAGGCTTCTTCCACCTTCATATAGCCGTAAAGCGGAGGAGCCCTTCCTTCCTCCCCACTGAGCACAGGGGGATGTTGGGGCTAGGAAGTGGGGTCCCACGGTTCAGTTCTGGTTGCCAAGGGCCTAGCTGTGGCCAAAGTGGACTGTGTTCTGCACCCGAGGCCTTCGCCTTTTCTTGGACTTCTGACCGTGGGGCTGCTTGGTTCTACCCAGGGCTTCCTTTGCTCATTCCTCATCTTCCCGGGACTGTTCTTCAGGACTGCTCTCAGATGTCCCTGGGGGTCCCTCATGGGAGCTTCAAACACTGGTAAGGACACCTTGGACTTCTTTGTGTCCCCGCTGCTGTGCGGTCTACTGGATTCCCCTGGTGACCAGACGGGAGGTCCTATGCTTTGCAGAGCTGGCACTGCCTCCCTCTGCTGGCAGAATGTGAGAACTGCACGGCTTCTTGGCCATTTGTTGTGCTTTATCTCAGGACCTGGAGCTCAGAAAATGCTCCCGGTTATTTTTGGAAAGAATAAACAAAAGTCTACCTTTAAAAATGAAAGACGATCATTAGCTATTTTATGGACGTAAAAAGTCAAGTTTCGGTTTTTCCTAACCCATTTTCAGACCCTGGCGGTTTGTCTTTATGGTCTTTCTCATCAGAAACCCCGGGTCCTTACCTGGGAGCTTGTGTCACGGCAGGTGTTACTTGGGATGCCGGTAGAAACGACTGAGCCCCGTTTTGGAGAAAACCCCACGCCCTGAAGCCTGTCACAAAAGCGGTGGGACTGTGAGAAGCAGTATGATCTTTCAGAAGGAGCCCAGCCTTGGCTGCTGAGTTCGAACCCTGGCCCTCCGCTCACAGCAGTGCAATATTGGGAAAATTACTTCACCTTTCCGAGCCGCAGTTTTCTCATCTGTAAAATGACCAGTCTCGCACAGCTTTTAAGGATTAGAAAACTGCACGCAGTTATACTGCCTGCAGTGATCTGCGCAGCACCCCTTCCCCTGACAGAGGGCGCTGCTATGGTCAGCAGCCGGGCTTGGCGTCTGGGTGGTGAAGGTCGCTGTGCATGCAGAGGGGAGAGAGGCCGTCCAAGTCGCTTTCAAGTCCCAGGCTCAGGGAGAGTTGTCCCTCAGGCCCAGCTGTCCTTCTGAGTCTTATAAGTGTTCTAAGGACATTTCTCTCTGTCTCACCTAGTTTGGGTTTTTATCACTTGCACCACCACCCCCATAGCCCATGACCGATGCAATGACTCGGAGAAAAGGAGGTACTTGAGGCAGCACAGGGCCAGGTGGGTAGTGAAGCCATGGCAGCCAGCCCGAGACCCGAGGGTGCCCGGCGCGGCCGCGGACCTGGAGCCCCGGGCCCGGCCGTGCGTGCTCTCTGCTCCGAAGGGCTCGTGCAAACCCTCCCTCCTTCACTGCCCTCCACCATCCCTTGATTGGCCACAGGGCTCGTGAGTATAGCTCCTGTAAGAGCGCAGCTTTGACATTCAGATGTTTTTGGCCACCTATGACCCTGAATTCTTTGTATCTCAATCTTCTAACTGTAGCATGAAGATGATATGTGCCTTTTAGGGTGGTTGTGATGATTATATGAGCTTCGGCGCAGAATGCACTTAAACTCAGGGACAGGTAGGTTCGGCTGCATACGATCGGCTTTCATTCACTGAGCTGCCTCCGCTCTGCCAAGTTCAGACCCTCTTTAGCAAAACAAATGATAGAATGACGGGAGTTTGGCCATTTGAGAGTTGGTGCTTGATATTTCTGCCATGTTCACATCACTTCATGTTCAAAGTTGGACCGAGGGTGGGGAATAAGAGTGTAGGAAGAAACAGGTAGAAAGGGAACTGTCATATCTACTGAGCCTGAGGTTCTCCTGGAGCCAGGTCACACAAGTTAAGTGCGAGAATGACCTCATTGTCCTGATGTTGAAAGGACCCAGATCGCAAGGTAAGGGACAAGTTGTTTGTTAAGGCTGTCATTATCATCTTACGATAAGAATTTAGTATAGTCATCTCAGGGAGTTTAAAAAGAACTTGATTACTTTTTGTCTGCAAGTTAATCTAGCTCAGAAACTTGGATAAAATGCTCTTGGAATTGTAACATTATGGGTTTGCTTATTATGGATGAATACCTTCATGCTGACCAACACAGACACAAAACAAAAACATCCCTCTGAAATAAACCAAGCCTGCCAAATCTGAGGGTTCTGTCTTGCATTAGAAATGCATTTTATTTTATAAAAGTTTATTTGGGGCAAGGAAGGATAAAAGAAGTAGACCACATAAATATTCATTTCAAATGCAGCATGACTAAACATAAATGTGTGTCCTATAATGGTTACATGATAAAATAATGAAAATAAATAACAATGAGAATTTTTAAGTATATTAAAGCGCCTCCAAGATTTTTGCCTTGAGATTATTAATGATGTAGGTAGGAAGAAAATGCATCTAGTTTAGAAGTTTTTGATTATTATTAGAAGCGGTTCAGAGAGCTTTGGTGGTCACAGCAATCAAAATGTAGTTATTCAGTAACGTGTTGAATGCTACTCATAAAAAATGGTCCAATGTGAGATGATTTTCACTGGGTAACAAAAGGACACCCAATGTTAATTATTTACCTCGTGCTGGGTACGTGCTAACCACTTTACACTCTGTATCTCATGTAAGTCTCCTGATAGTCTGGGAGGAGGCATAGCCATCACTTCTGCTTTACAGGTGGCAAAACCGAGGAAAGAAATCTCGAACTACATCATATGAGCTGTTCATGTGGCAAACATATATGGCCCATGGGCCTACCTCATGCTTTGCAGGGTAAGAAATTCATGGTCCCATGATCATTGTAAAAACTCAGCTATCAATACTGATAGTAATGGTCTCAAGATTTTACAGGTAAGTTCTTGACTCTGACTTTTCATTAAAATCTTCCTCAGAACCAGGAAAAAAAAAAACACAAATTCTTTCCCAATTGACAAGTAACTTCACTTTTCCAAAACTGAATCATTTTTATGTCCACCATTTTGAAGTCCCCTCCCCTTACAGCCCTCAGAATTCACTTTATTGTTGTGATTGTTGCATTCCCTGAGATAATGAAGACCAGAGGTTTCTCCTCTTAGATGTTTCACATTTGGATTCAGCCCCTCCTTTTGTCTGATGGCAACGTGGCTGTCTTCACAGAGAGGCTGTATTACGTATTCCTTAAAAGAACCACTTTGTTGGTCGGTCCAGGTTCAGCTGAGATGTTGCTGCTGGCTGGTTGTGTGACTGTAGATGAGGTATTTGGAGCCTCCATTTCCCCATCTGTGAAACGGGGTGATCACAGCATAACTCACAGGGTCACGGGGGACCTGTGTGAGATGAGGCACTATACTCAATGCTTAACAAAGAGTTGTAAAAAGTTTAGAAATTTAAAAACGGCGAAGCTACGTCTGCACTATTAAAAACCAAAAACTATAACTTGGTGACTCCCAGAAATTATTACTGAATAAGATTTCTACAGCAGCAAGTGTATTATTTGGCAAGTTATTTTGATATTGTGGCTTTGCAAGTATTTTTCTTGTTACCGTTTTCTTCCGTGTAAACTTTTATTTTAAATTCTGTAACAGCCCCTAGTCTCCTGGATAATGGCTGATGTCATGGAAATCTTAGAGCCTATGCTCTTAGGGCCTCATAAATGGGTAATTTAAAAACTTTTCATTTCTTTCTAAGCATCAACATTTAAGACAGAGAGCACGTCAGTTAATGAGAAGAGACCTTCAACCCTCTTAGACCTGTGAAATCTTCCTTTTTTATATAAATACCAAGGTTTACATGTCCCATTCTCTGTCAGCTTAGGACTATTTTGGAGAATGGAAAAGGGAGAATATTTTTTTCATCCTGGAAATGCAATTATTTTTGTGGGATTTTTTTTTTAAAGGTTGGTAACTGATGTCAAAAGAAAATTTTACAGTGTTGCTTTTAAAATAGCAAGATCTAAACAAATACTCCAATCAGCCTGTCCACCAGCTGTCTCACTTACATGAATTTGGAATGTGCAGTTTTGATAAGCGACGTAGGTAAAATTCTTGGGCTACCTTCCTGACTCTTGGTCATGTTTCAACCTAGTTTTATATTAACTATTCCAAAAATGCTTAAAAACAGAAAGTGCAGAAGCCTCCTAAAAATCAGGCTCAAAGGGTGAGGTGAGGCTGAAAGATGAGTGGTACTGGGGTGTGCATTTCCGCATCTGCTTGTATTCTAAGCATGTGGCTCACACGCATATGGATGCTGAGTACGTAAAAAATGAGTCCAGCTTTGTCTATTTACAGAGCACTTTTGCAGATAGCACACTTGAATTTCTCAATCAGTGGTTTTCAAGGTAGGTTCCACACCCAGGTGTGTGGAAAGGAAATGTTAAAACTCTTAATAATTTAATTCTTTCGTCTTAATATTGCTCTAAAAAGTATATGGCATACTTACGATGCATGCAGGGGTTACTACAGAGGCAATCCACATTCGGAGCCAGGGGAAAAGCAACTTCTCTGTCCCATGACACAAATACACATCCTCTTGTTCTCTCTCCCCCAGGATTTTAAAGATTGAGTTCAACAGGACTGAAAAATGAGGTCAGCCAAGCTTCCCACTGCTTGGCCTCAAACCTTGGTTTTCTTAAGCTTTCTGTCTCGATTTGGAATTAAGGTCCTCGAGGTAACATGGTCTAATCATAGAGACCAAATCTTCACCGGCTGCTTAAATTCTACTCTCTGCCCACAGACTGCTGCCCCTGCCCCCCACAACCCGCCCCCTCACCCACCACCCCGCGTGCCAAAGCCTCATTGTTCCGATGGAGCAGGGAAGTTTGAGAATGTGGACCATGAATAATAAATGTAATTTCTCTCAAATTTATATAGCCTTGTGCTCCTGCAGGACTGCATGTATGCCTTTCTGACAACATATCACAATCTCATAATTAGTATTCAGAATCTAAGTCACACGATGTTTCTCCAGTGACACTGTGAACAGCTTTTGTTCTCGCACTCAACAAGTGACATTGAGTTCCCCCTTGTGCCACACACCTTCCTGGATCTAGGCAAAGGCACTTGCTCATTATAGTCACTTGAGTTTAAAAAAAAAAATTGCTAGTAAAGGGCTGATAAATAGTAATGGAAGGAAACTTAGGGTGGCGAACACATAATACAGTGTATAGATGATATGTGTGATATTGTTTACACAATATCAAAACCTGTACCCCTGAAACCTGCATAAGTTTATTAATCAATGTCACCTCAATAAATTCAATAAAAACTTTGAAAAAGAAAACAAAAAATTGCTAATAGTCAACTCCAAGCAAATGATGTCAGTGTGCAGGTAAGAATCATCTGTTACCAGCATATTTAATAGGTTTGCCTAAATGGTTGCTTTTCAAAGTAACCGAGGGTGCTCCAAAAGTCAGACTGTTCAGCTATGTCTACCATAACCTGATGCACAGGAGAAACGTACTAAGTTAGTAAATAAAGGAATAACTTTTCTCCTAAATTAACAGGCAGAGCATTTACCATGAAGAACAAAGGTCAGCTTGTCTGTTTAATTATCTCTACTTCTAAAACAGAGGATTTTACAATGAATGAGGTTTAATCTCGAGGGACAAAAATAAACAGAAAGGAAGGACTTCCACATTTTTATCATAAAGACTCATGCAAATAGGAGTCCCCTTGGTGAAGAATAAAGTCCAAGTCCAAGCCAGGAGGCCACGTTGCTGGGCCTGCACACAGGTGACAGAGCTAGGGCAGGCAGGAGAGCTCTGGCCGCGCACTGGCGTTGGGCGCCTCATTCTCCCTGGGGCCCCTCCTGCCTGGAGATACTGATGGAAGAGTTAGGAAGAGCAGAGAGAATCTTACCCTTTTTTTTTTTTAATCCTTACTCAACGATATTTTTAAAATTGATTTTAGAGAGAGGAAGAGTGGGGAGAAACAAAGAGGGGGAGGTGGGGTGAGAGGTGGGAGGCAGGAGAGAAAGAGACAATAATTGGTTGCCTCCCATACACGCCCTGACCAGGGATTGAACCCACAACCTAGGTATGTGTCCTGACCAGGAATCAAACCTACCACCTTTTGGTGTACAGGACAATGCTCCAACCAACTGAGCCACCCGGACCAGGGGAGAGAACATTACCCTTTGGATCAAAGGCAGAGTGAGGTGGAAAGAAGGAAAGGTAAATGGCCAACAACTCCCGAACACAGACAAATAGGCAAGCACAGAGAAACCTCAAAGTCCCCTCATTCTTCTGGGGATCTGGTTTGACAGTTATAACAATTTGCTACTATCTACCTTGAAAACCAGGGAAAAAGATTTACTTCATATTATTGTAATAATTCAACTTTCTCTAGTAAAAAATGAAATATAACTTCTTAGCATGAGAAAACCTGTATGTAATATAGAAAAAAAGCCTTAAGATCAAGATCTGACATGGTAAATACCCACTTCGTACAACTGGCTAAGATCATGAGTTACATGGATGTCCACTCCTAATCACAAGCAGCGCCTTAAACTGAGAATGCATCTGTGCTCTCTGGCCCTCCAGGATGTTACGGGAAGGCTCGCTCCTGCCGGCACACATTTCTGATATGCGGTGGTAGCAGGCTCCAGAAAGAAGACACTACGCAGAGCAGATGCTCAGGCAGCTGCTGGACATCCCAGTGGGTAGAGCTAGGTCTGGAGTTTCTCTTCAACCTCAAGATGTTGACTTTCTTCCGACATTCCTTGGGGGCGTGTGGCCATTGGGATAAAGACAGAAGGGGCCAGGATTACTTAAAAAAACAAAACTTGAAATTCTTGGTCTTCTGTTAACCGTTTGAAGCAGTTATTTGCACAAAAAAGAATCATTAAAACATAGGAGAGTTGTTAGTCACGGTGCAATATTTGCAGCAGTCCTAAAATGTAAAATTAAGTGCACGTGGAAATGCAGAAATATTCCCAGGCACGGGAAAGAGATTTGGCTGCACTAAGGCCTTACCTTACCCCTCTCCTGTCTGAATTTTCTTCTTTATCCTTCTGTTTTAGAGACGTCAGTGGGGAGTTGGGATAGCAGTAGCTGGCCAGTCCTCCTTCCCCTGGGCCAAAGGTTTAAACCCCTTCTGTGTTATTCTAAATATAAATGCAATTTCGACCTCTTGCAAACTGGCTCTTTCTCAGGCTCTTGTGTTTTGAAGACCTGATGTGTAAAGACTACAAGCTGACCACCTTAAAACTCGATGTTAACTTCCTCTTCTCACTAACTAAACCCTGAATTTATTTGGAAAGCTATGCACACAGATAGAAAGATACGTTTTCCTAGCCTTTCTTGCAGCTAGATGTGACCAACCCAGATATTGACCAATGAGGTATATGTAAAAGGGCTGAGTTATACTTCTGGGAGGCTTTTAATGGAGAGGGAGTGAGAACTTCTGGCCCTTCATCCCTTTTCCTATATGGAGAGCAAATGTAACGACTGGGGCCCCAGAAGCCACTATGGACTACAGAGTGATCTTGAGAGGGAAGCCAAGATTATAGAAGGAGCATGTGTCACTCATGCCATGGAATGCTCTACCAGCCTGAAATGCATCCTCCAGACTTTTCTACATAAAAAGCAAGTAAATATCTATTCTTACAAGCCATTTATCACATGCAGCTGGACCTTATCCCAGCAGATATACTTGGGAAATTATTGAAAGAACTGCTCTGAAATATTAAGCATTTGGTGTACCAAGTACAACAGCAAACACATCTACAATGCAATCAACAATGACAACAGTTATCTTTTAAAGCTTCTGAGGAACCTTGTATGTAGAGGTGACTTGTCACCAAACAAACCCAGGGCAATCAATATACATCAGTTAAGCATTTCTTAGGGTAACATCCTTAAAGATGCCGGAAGGCTCAGAAATCATGTTTTATGTTGAATAATTACCAAAATGCCTGAAGACATTATATATACTTCACAGTATTAGTGTTTTTACTTGTGAGGATGGAAAAATTTATTTAAAGGGTAGTTTTAACTAAGAAGACTTATTTTACTGAGTGCCTACTAAGTGACAGGCATTGTGCTAAACACTTGTGTAATCTCGTTTAACCTTTACAAATATACACTGTTATTATTCTTAATTAACAGATGGGCAAATAGAAGGGATAAATTACTTGCCCAAAGTCCCATGGCAAAGCTGGAAAGCAAATCAAGGTCAACCAGATTTCAGATGGGTTATGAAACACCACACTTAAGTGTCTTCCATGTTTATATTTTTCTAGAAAGTCTTGACAATCCTATAACTTCTCCATCGATTCATGTCAGAATGGCTGCTCTTGTTTTATGAATTAGGAGGCTGAACCCCAGAGAGGGCTGGCTTATCCATAAGGCTCAGGGAGTCGTGTTGTCAAGGCTTTGGATCCCAAGGACAGAGAGCCAAAGTCATTCTCAGCAAAGCGACCTGGTCTCCTCCTCACGTGTGGTGTAGAAGCCTGGCTCTTTAAATTAAAACAAACAAACGAACAAAACACCGGAAACACCAAAGGTCACTGACACTCAGCCTGGGAATATTAGAAGCACCACTGAGTTAATACAGGCAGTCACATTATGCTGTTATATTTTAATCAGAATCAGGCATTAAATGGCATAAAACACTCTATCTACCCCTTTGCTGTTCCAAATCTCATAAACTTCAAACCCAAATATGACACAAGCAGTTTCAAGAATTATTTTGACCGGCCTCCCCAATCCCAAAGGAGATTAAAAAGTAATAATGTAAAAAAGTTAAGGTCAAGGTGTCTTAATAGCACAGCTAATGACTAACCATTTGTTTACTCGTGGCTTCTGCTCCACCCTGAATGCTGCTGAGCTTCACTGGCTGTCAAACAACTGGTTAGTTATTAGTTCCCTGGGTGATTGTCCCTGAATGTAGGCCACGCTCTGGCGAGGGGACACAGTAGGCACTTACAGTGGGGTAGCTACCTCTTCCAGGTTGGGTCCAACGTTTGGCTCTCAAAAGCAAGATAAAGAATTGACAAAGCAAATGTTCTGTGAGTCTGTGCTCTCGAGATGAAGTGCTGGGATTTCAGAGCATTCTCAAGAACCTCTGCACCAGATGTGCAGAGCTTTGGGGCGTGGAGCGCAGGTTGTTTAATTTCTAGACCCGGGCACCTTGGCCCACTCTGATTTTTGTTCCAGTGTCCTGAGCAATGGGCCTCCTCCACAGGGATGCTCTCGACCTGGATGAGGCATGGAAACGCAAATCATCCAAACAGATGCTGGCTGTAAACAGTGGGCGAGGCTGCACCGCTCGCTGCAGAGATTCAGCTCGGTGTCTGCGGAGCAATGACATCCCGAGATGATCCTGGGGACAGTAGGTTGTTTGCGTGCGCAAAGTACCTCCCCTAATCTGCCTCATCCAAGTCTTCTCCCGCAGTAGCTGCTTCCAAAGCCGCCAGGGCTTCTGCCACCTCCGCGTCCTCGTCCTCTGTCCCCCCAGCGCGGTCTCCAGCACAGCCAGGGGCACCCTCCCACCTGTCCGTTGGGTGGGCCACAGGCATGGCCTGGGCGGGATCCTCTTCTTTAAAGTAGACGCTCAGGACTTCGGCCGCCACAGCCTCGTTCAGTGAATCCCAGCTTCTCTTCACAGAGAAGGGCATGTTCAAACCCTGCCCCGCCATGTCAGGGCGCATTTCCTCCAGGGGCTCCTCCTCAGGATCGCTCCTGAAAAGATAATCTTTTTCTTCGTGATCCCTGCTGTCTCCAGCTGAGCCCCAACACTGAGGATAATCTGGGGCTGGTAGCTGGAGGACATGGTCTTGTACTTCCACGGGGGGACAATCTCCCTTGGAAGGGACCCTGGAGTCTCCATGTCCAGCGACTCGGGTCTCCTCCAAGGCCTGCAGTGCCCAGTCTGTTTCCCTGGGGTCCCCTCCATCGAGGAAGGGTGAAGTCGGGTGCACGCTGTTGGTGGTACTGGCCCAGGAACCCGTGCCGCCCTGCTGGGGCCCGGGGTCCCCGGGGGGCTGCAGAGCTGCAGCGGGTCCAATGCCATTGACGGCACTGCCAGTCTTCTCGGCACTGTGTCCGTCTCCTCTGTCCCCCTGAGGGGACGGTCCCTGGAGAGGACAGCAGGGCTCCTGCGGACCAGCTGGTCTGCTTCTGCTCGCAGTCCTCCTCAAGCCCTCGCCCTGAAGGTCATTGTTATGCACCTGTACTCCGCTGCTCTGTTTGCCTTTTAGTTTAACAGGGTCCTCTTCATCTAACTTGCAGCTGTTCACTTCGTTGACGTAGCCAGGGGAGGGCGCTTGAACAGGATCAAAGAGATAGCTGAGGTGAGAATAATGAAGATCGGTCAGGTTCATTACTGACTTTAGTCATTAACAACTATTAACTGCTGATTTCCATTATGGACAATTTTTTCTCTTCCTGTTAATTTCTGTGATTAGCTACTCATTGACGCCTGTGTGTCTAAATCAAATAGACAGAGTTCGCATAAAAATCTTCTACCACTGGAACTAGGTCTGAGAGGGGAACTAGTTCCAAAAGGGGGTGGGAAGCTGGTACAGAGCAAAGTGGTTCATGCAATTCGAAATCAAATCAAAAAAGTAAGTAAAAAGAAAGTAAATGTCCAAAAACAGGGAAATAACTAGGTAAGTACTGATGGCACATCCCCTAAATGGAATATTATACAATCATCAAAATGATAAAGTCTAAACTGGCATGAAAGATATTTATAAAATGTTTTTATGGTAAAGTCTATCATCACATTATGATTACAGTCGAGTAAAACCTATGTATTGTACATGTGTGCCTATACATGGGTAAAAATACTTGTATGTGTATACAGTATGAAATAGAACTATAATAATAAAAATAAATTTATTTGTTAGGGAAGCAAAAAAATAAATGTATTTGTTAGGGAAGCAAAGCCATCAGTTATTTATTCCCTTTACTCCACAGAGAATCGTTTCTGTTAGCCGCCTTCTGGAAGACGTGATGAGCGCATGTGTGATGGAGGTGGTTTATTCCCAGCGACGCCGCGCCAGGCACCCCCTAAAACCCAAGATTTTCTCTGCACCAAAACTCTCTGGAGAAATGTAAATTCAGCCTAAACCAAATTCAGACTCAGAGAAGGACGCGGTTCCCAACCTCTCTGAGAAGGAAGCAAAACAAACACAGACCAAGTTTAAAAATCTAGTCCACACGTCCTCTTCAATGATATCAAAGCAGTTCCAAATTCTTAATTTCTTGGCCATGCCAGTCCTACCCAAGCTAGAGAAATATCTCCACAGGAATCATGAGTTCTTCCATTCGAGATAAGGTTTTTTTTTTTTCAACTTTACCTGTGTATCATTTTACAGCATCTGCACCCCATCTGGATTTTCTTTTTGTTACCATCTGGAGAAAGAAAACATAAAAAAGGAGAAAACACAGTGAACGGCATTTTAATATAAATCCAGTTTGCTTTTCCTCACAAGTTAGCGGAGTCCCAGTTTTTCGGCAGAAAGATGGCATGTGAGTCAGGGAGGCACTGGAATGCCTTTCTGTACTGAAAATCGCCGATTCAGGGTTCTCAGACATTTATTGGTCCTTGTCCCTGTGCCAGACCCTCTCCCCAACACTGGGAGTTTTGTATGTCTTCTCCATTTTGCAAATGAGGAAACAGAGGATGAAGAGCGCTCGGGAGAGAAAGGTAGGGCTGAAAGGGATCTGTGTGTTTTCTCTTCCACCACCTTCTTTGCGGGGCCCAGGAGCGGAGGTGAAAGAGAGAGGAGAGGTGTCCTTGCCAGAGGATTAGTCACTCCACCATTCAAGGACATCAGGATAAGGCAGCTGATCTGCGTGTTCCACATTAGAGACCCAAAGAGGTGACAGCCAGAGCCCTGTCAAAGCTTCACCTGGACTAAACTGCTCCTGCTGTCCCTTTCCCGTCCCTGGGACGCCTCTGGCTGTAATTCCTGGACTCCACTCTCTTGCAGTTCAAGGACGTGGCCCTGGGCTCCCAGATGGTAGACGGACTCAGGTCTGTGCCTCTTTCATTTCTCGACAGCCCACTGTCACCTGCCCTTTCCCAAGGTCACATCCCACCCACCCCCCCGCACTGAAAATTGGCCTCTGAGGAAAATCCTCTCCATATAAAATCAACCATGTTGTTCTGGTTTTCCCTTTGAAATCCTCAAAGTGAGTGCATAAAAATCTTTAAGTTATTCTCCATTTCTAATATCTATGACCTCCAAGAAGACAAGCTAATAACAGAACTGAAAGCCCCAGTCCCTCTGGCTCTGTAACACACGGGCACTTGGGAGGCAGAGAGATCATTCACAGTTGGCTGGGTTCCTGCCTGCCCCGCTCTCTCTCTTCCTCCTTCCTCGGTCATGGATGAATTTCCCAGGATGCTGCTTCATAAGCCTTTACCACCCGAGAAAATGCCTGGTGTTTCCTAAGAAGTATAGGCCGGTTGGTTGGTTATAGGAGACTAGGTTTACATGGATAAATCAAATCCACAAATCACCTCCTATGCAGGGCAGATAAAAGCGCACCCCCAAAAGATAGCCACATCCTAATCTCTGCAATTTGTGAATGCTACCTCATATGACCGAAAGCAAACAAAACAAAAAGAATCTTCACGGATGTGGTTGCAGATTTGAGATGGGGCGACGTGCCTGGATTATCTAGCTCAGACCCCAGCTCTGCCCCTTCCTGGCTCTATGACTTTGGGCCTCAGCCATTTCACCTTTAAATGGGGATAATGATATACCTATACGTGATGTTGCCGGGGATGATATGCGTGAAAATGCATATACTTATTACTTAGTTTTGTTTGATACAGCATGCTTGAAAAAAGATTGTGGCCTTGCACTTAAAAATGATGTAGTCTACTTGCATGACAAACACATACAAACAAGAGCAGCAATAATGCGATACCAAGTGATACTTGTTTTGGCATATGGTCTAAATGGTATATTTCTACCAACTGTGGCACCAATTGAAAGACACAAACCCAAGTGTGACAGAAGACCTGCAGATTGGCGTCACTGGGGGCTTAGCCAGCAATGTGTGTGTACAACTTTTTCCTTCTTCAAAGTACCCTCAATTAAACTGCCCCATTTCCAAAGCCCAGGACTGTGTTTCCAGCCTCTGCTCCCCATTTATGTCCATTTTCTGCTAATACTTCATTCATCAGCTGGATAAGTAGATAAAGAGTATCACGTGTGCCTCCTTCCCCCATTAACCCGCTCTCCCCTCCGCACCTTGCTCTAAAACCCTGCCGCCTTCCATGCTGGCAGCGCCTTTGTTTACCTAGGACTGTACAGAAAAACAACACAAAACGATCAGCCAGGAAGACAGGGGACCAAAAATGGAAAAAAAAGAAAAAAAAAAGAAAAAGCTTTTAAGTGTTTGAGAGAGGGAGGGCTGTGGGTGATAATAATGTAATTGAAGCAATTGAAAAATATCAGGTAGGTCAACTTTAGGATGGTGAGTTCAAGAGAGCAGAGGGAAAGTTTTCTTCTGAAAGAAAGGAAGAGAGGCATATCTGGAGTGACACCTCGTGTTGTCAGCGCAGAGGCTACGTCGACCTTGGGGAAGCCTGGCCAGGCTGGATCTGTCCCCACCATTTGCTGCTGTGGCCACAGAAGCAACATGCACCGAGATACAATGACTGCTGAGATTTAATAGCCACCACTTCCTGTTTCTTACAGAATTTACATGTCACCTGTGGCTTTTAGGGTTCCCTCCCACTGCCCCAGGTAAACCACAGGATCTTTATTTTTCTTCAAGGCCATGTAATTGTAAAGGATGGTTTGATGGTTATCCCCTTTCAGGATCAAGTTTCCAGTCTGGCCCCCCCCCCCCCCCCCCGGCCCCTGCACTCTCCCCTCCCCCCACCCCCACCCCCGCCTCCCTTTAGGGCACACCACCCGGGTTTCCCACAGAGGTGGTCCCCTACGGAGCACAATGCTTTGCACCTCTCCCAGGCCCGGTGGTCACAGCCCCCGCCTGGGGAGAGGCTCCGCCCTCTCTCACCTCACCTGGTGTTTTCCTTCCCCAGCGACATCCCTTCTCTCTGTGAGACCAGCTCTGGTGTCCGAGGTCGTGCGACCACTGATGAAAAGGGCGGGGGCTCGTGTATTACAGCCAACTCCTGCCTGCCCATATCAGTAATTATTCTTCCTTATTTGATGATTCCTAATATCCAATTCAATTTCTTTCTTTCCCTATGTCACTCCCTCATCTATGTCCTGCTTTTAGGGAGGCATTCTCCCATCGCTGGGTGCAAAAAGGAAATACTCCTTGTCCAGCATGATACATGGACTTGGGCAGAATGTATGTTCTTTGGAAGTAAGACTGAGCGTAAGATGGGCTGTCTGCTTTCTCTGTCCCGCTCCCTTTGACGACAGCTAGTTTAAAGGTGAGAAATCGGTTGTCAGGTGCCCTTTATTAGTGAGCAGAGTCAAAATTTGCTTTCTGTTTGGAGTGTAAAAAAGCAACAGAGAAGCAAAGGGCAAATATTCTTCACAACCATCATCGCGTTTACACAGGGGAAAAGCAAATACCATTAGGGTGGGGTGTCCATCATCGCTGGCGCCTGCCCGCTGCCTGGGGTTTCGTGTTGGGGGTTGGCTCTGCCTTGGGTTTGGTGTTGAAATTAAATAGTCACGTGTTTGAGGATGGACACACCAATGTCCCATCAGTTACCAGCCAAGTCTCCTTGCTGGAAAAATCCTGTTTCCTAAGGCGGAGACGGGTGGAGATGGGAAGAAGGGACAAGACTGGGGAGAGCCAGGAGTTTGCCAACCAGGTGGAGAAATTGACTGAATATTCATCAGGAAGTGAAGGGAATATAGGAAAAGGCTTCACCCAGTGAGAAAGGGCTGCCTTTGTAGATTAGGTAACAGTATTAAATCAATGTTCATTTTTTAATTAATCATTGTTCTGGGGGCTATACAGAAAATGCCCTTGCTTTTAGGAAATGTACAGTGAGGTAATTAGGAGCAAAGAGCATAGAATCTGTAGCTTATTAAAATAATCCAGGAAAAAAATTGTGTGTGAGTGTGTGTGCATGTGTGTTTAGGGAAAGGGAATAAAGCCAATGCGCTAAATGTTAACATTTGGGGACTCTCGGTAGAGAGTATATGGGGATTCTTTGTCTTTAAAATTAGTCATTTTATTATAAAAATTTACATAAAATTAACCATAAATACAGCAGTTAAAAATAAAAAAAGAGAACTAAGACAGTAAACACTTCAAATGAAAAAGTAGAAACAAAAACCTGATTGCTTGAAATTATTCATATTTTAGCTAAATGCTTTCTTTCTTAGACTTATAATAGTTGTTTCTATTATACTAATTAGGCTATAAAATACAAAAATATTATTTTCAAAAGACAGATTCTCAAACGCCAGGTATATGGGGAATCTTGGTGTTTTTCTTGCACCTTTTCTGTAAGTCTGAAATAAAGTCAAAATTAAAAATTAAAAGAAAAAAGAAGTGTGCAGGAACTGATCAAAATCCCACCAAGCTTTCTGCATTTAACCGCCGTCCTGAGCGTTTATGGAGGCCTCTGTCCACAGGCAGCCCCAGGACGCGCGCGCTCTGAGGGCACAGGCGTGGTTTCTGTCCTTGTCCTCAGGCTGCCCGCTGCCCCGTCTTAAAGAGGGTCCTGCAGCCCCAGGCTGTGGTGGTCCTCAGCCGCCAGCCTGCCCCGTAAACACAAGCTCCTCACAGGCCAGGCCTAACCCAGCCCCAGGGCCAGCTCAGGCAGAGCACCTCCCACTGTTATTCAAACAAAGGAATGACTGCTAAGTGACAGGTGCCAATGAAGTGAGGGACAGATGCACAGGAGGTTTTAGAAGTTATTATTCCCATAGAGGCTCTACCCCTTTCCATGATCAAATCATTCACTACCCTGCGTCCGGAAGGAAGAGCCAAGCACAAGCGCTGGGTGGGACGGGAGGGACCTGGGCCCCTCCTTCCCCACTTGGGAAACAGCAAAACCTCCCGTGTGCAACTCCAAGGTAAAGGATGTTCTGCTTCAGGGGTTCTAGTCAACGAGCTTTGAAAGCAGCTGCCAGGAAGTGGTTTGAGTTCATCAAAAGCTGAAGTGCTTGGAAGAGATACAGAATAAAGTTAAACGTTTAAAATTACAGCTCCATTTTGAAAAACCAACTTGCCAATGTTTACAGAAAACAACAGGGATTTCATGTAACCTGGTCAAAAGGTGAGGCCGATCAATATTTAGTTGAGTTGCTTCTGGGCACTGAGCTCTTGGACTCAAGCGGAGTGAATGAAAATAACCACCAGGGGCTTTACCAAGGACATTAAAGACTGCCCTCGGGCTTCACAGACAGCACCGCACCTGCCGCTGAGGAAGGACCAGGGGATAGACCTGTGACCGCCCAATCTGTTTCCTCCGCAGAGCCACTCCTTCCTTTCTGGGCCTGCGCTGGGAACCCCCTGGGACATTCTTTGGGTGTGTCTCCTTTTCCCCTCAAGAGGCTGAGCTTCAATGATTGTGGAAAAACCAAAGACGCTATGAAGGCCTTTCTGATCAGCACCACCAGACAGCCTGCTTTATGCCTCCTCAGTAGTTGGAGGCGCTATGAGATAGGTGTTAGCATCCCCAGAACCGGGTTTCAGGAGATATTTGTGTGCAGAGCGGGGTGTTTCTAAGTACCCCCTAAAAAAGGGTTCCCTGGTCCAAAAGCTTTGGGAACAGCAGAGTGAAGATGGGCACATTCGTAGTTATGAAAGGAACTGTTTTACTTTGTTTAAAACCACTAGTCCTCCAAATTATTTGACCTCAGAACTTTTTTTTTTTTTTTTGCATAAAAGACAATTAACAACCAACCAAACTTGTATTTTATGTAATATGTTGGGGAAAACAACTGCAGAAATGAGAGTCCTAATCACTGGAGGGAGTTTTGTGCCCTGAATTAATAATATTATGTGGTGCTTGGTGAGCACAACCAGGCAAAGCCTGTGCCCAGTGTAAGCGGGTAGCAATGGCTCTGTCACCCATGCCTGAGATATGGGAGAGCTATCGAGTCTCTCGTTCCTCAGTTTCTGCAAAATGAGGCCAGATTGCTAGAGTGTGCAGTTCCCTCACTGACTCCTGAGACCTTCCTGGCCAGGAAGGCACAAGTATGACCCTTTTATAGGCGGGGAACCCCACTCAATGGTTCGTCAACTACACCATCACGATGCTGTTGAGGTGTGTTTGGGCCCTAAGTCCACACTCCCCCCAACCCATGATCCGTTTCCTGCCTTTAGGGTCTAAGCACTCTGTCTCCCTCCCTGCAGCCTGCAGGTCTCAGGTAGAGGTGTGCCTGCCCGTTCGCCAGAAGAACGGCTGCCCAGCACCCTGGAGCATTGAGATGGGGCGAGACTGGGCATCACAGTGCCATTGGGAGGGATGAGGACTCAGATCAGGGGGACCTGGTGAGGGGGAGGAGTGTCTGCGGGACCCCCTCCTCCCCTGGAATGGGCTGGGGAGGTGCAGGCTCCAGGGTGGCGGGTGACCTTTGGCTTCCTTGTATATTTTAATAGGAAACCATGTCAGAAGTATGTTTTTAGAGCAAAAAGAATCGATCTCTGAGGATGACATGTCCGGGTAGAGATCAGCGTTTCTCAGTGAAAGGTTGCCCTGGGCCCCACTCAGATGGTGCTATTTGAAGTGCTGTCTCACTGGCCCTTCCCGGAAAGGGCGCTGCTGGGCGGGGGCGGGGGCGGGGGGGACCGACTGCAGGGGCGCGTGGCGCTCCCACTGCATCAGCTCTGGGGAGCAAGCCAGGTCCTGTCCTGTGACTTTACTGCTGCTAGGCTCACAGGGTCCTTGAGGTCTGTGTAGAATGGGGAAACAAGACCTTTCTTACAACAGTGATAACGCCACTCCTTTCTTCCTGGGGTCCTTATACTAGTATATCCCAATCCTGTTGATGCATCTTAAAAACACTTCATATGGCCCTTTCCCATTTTCTGGCCAGATGCCCCTACCTTTTTTTTTCTTTTCTGATATAGTGCTTAGTCTGTGGTTCTTAAGACAGATGTTTCATGAACATCCTAGTCACAGTTGTTATGTAGTATTTTCACTGACTCCACATCTTCCCAGTGAACGCCCCTGGTATGTACCAGGCACAGGGCTAGGTTCTGGAGATACAATGAATGGCATCCTGGCTGCTTCCCAAGAGAGTTATAGAGAGAAAGAGAGTGAGAGAGAGAGAGAGAGTGTGTGTGTGTGTGTGTGTGTGTGTGTGTGTGTGTGTAGGGGGGTAATTGTGTGGGGTGGGATGGGATTTATATAAACATTTGGGAAGATTCATTACAACACCTCAGCAATTCAGCAGAGCGGTTAAATGAACAACTTAGAGCTGGGGGTTGGTTCCAATCCTACCTCCACCGCTTGTTAGCTTTGTGACCTCCGGGCAATTTCTTAGCCTCTGTGACCATCAGTTGTCTAACCTGCAAAATGGGACCAGTAACAGTTCCTGTTCATCAGGATCACTTTGAAAATTGACATAAAAGTATGTAAGTCATTTACTATAATGTATGGCATATTGTCAGTACTTATTAATAATTATTATAAGTAGTTAACATTTGAGGGTTTACTGTTTATCAAGTACTGTTTTAAGGACGCCAATGTATTCATTCATTTCAACTTCACAATAACCCTTTTAGGTGTAAACCAGTATTTTATAGATAAGTAAATGGATATAAATGTTACAGGGTGGTACAGTTTGGTTATTATTAGCACTGATGCTATTGTCTTCCTTATTAATATTTCCTGATTATATACTATGTGGTTATATATTATATAATATTTATATAGTTACAGACATTACATAATATATATTGTATTAATATAATCTGTCTTCATAAGTGCTGTTGTTTTCTGAGTCCATTGGGTTATACAATAAACAGCAGCTTGCAATTCAGTAGCTTTTGCAAAAGGGAACTGGATTCTCTTAATTTGGATGCTGACAGAATTTCATAGGTGCAGTTTTACCTATTCACCACCAGATAGCAGTATAGAGTAGTTAAACTAATTTCAAGAGAGGGACTTGTGGGGAGGTCTCAGAAACAGGAGACTTAGGGCACAAATAATGTAGATGTTTTGCCATGTAGCAAAGTTAGAGAGTGAGTTATGTGGTAAATATTTCAGACAAGTAGTGTCACCTTTACATCCTGGTGGCCATGGCACCACCACAGGCAGGGCCTTCTCCAACTCTAGCTGGGCATGAGGCTTATTCAATAGTCTGGCCAGACCACTGAATTCTATAATGGCCACTTTTGACACAATGACTGATCTTCAAACTCCCCAATGGGAGCGCCTGGGTTTCTCTCTCCCACTTGGATGTCTGGACAATAATTCTGTGGAAGAGGATGGGGGAGGAAGGACCTGTGGAGTGCACAAGGGTCTACCCATGGGTCCCTCACCCCAGGCTACCCATGGGCTACTCGTGGCCTGAGCTGGTCTTGGGGCTCCATCTTCCGGATGAGGTGTGTGGCCATGAATTAGGAGGTAAATATAAGCTACAAAATAAATATGGCCCAATTGGAAGGATTTGGGTGGAAGAAGCTCATTGTTTTTATTTAAAATAAATTCACAATGTTGTGTTTGAAAAGGCTAAATTTGCATGAATTATTAGAATTAAAGAGAGCATACATAGATTGTCAAGGTCTGTTAGTAGCTGGTGGTCAGCCCTCGAGGTGCCTCACTAGTCCCCTCATATCCTCCTGTACTCTTGGTGGGAAGTGTTTTAGGGGAAAAGTTGGAAAAACTCTGCCCCTAGTCTCTGGATGGAATTCTAGGGAGTAAGCTCCTGTCTGGAGCAGTTGAGATGCAACACTCATTGGTGAATAAAGACTGGGTGTGCGTGGGGCAAGGTGGGGATCCCGCTGCACTCACAGAGGAGGAGAGAGCACAGGGTCTGTGAGGAGTCTGCCTGGGTTGGAACGGGGCCCGATAACCTGTGTTCCTTACAAGCTCCTGGGTAGTGTGGGTGCCGCTGTCTGGGGACCGCACTTTTACTGCTGTAAAGAAATTGGGGCAGTCCAGGCCTCTCTGCTTGGCTGTGTTGCTGGTTGGGCTTTGACTTACAGGTGGTACAGGGGGGACTAACATCCTAAGGCTTAGGGAGTTCCTGGCACAC